ATAGAATAGTAATAGAGGTCTCTCCACAGAAACGTGATACCTAAGCTTTAAATGAATTTTTAACAATGAAAACTTGAATTTAAAAAAATTCGTTAAGGGAAAATTCGGTAATTTTGACAAGGTAGGAAAATTCGGTAACTATGTAATAAAAGTCGATTGAAAATTGATTGTAGAGCCGTTCTGGAGTGGAGATTTGGGGGCTAAGATCTCCTCCCCTATATTTTACCGTCCTGGGTATGACGATAGACTAAAGCCGCGCCCTGGGTAAGACGATAAACTACATCCAACAGCGATCAAAAGGTTTTGAGGAACCTGGAACCACCTCTTAATTGCTGGTGTTGCCAGGTCAACCCTGAACCAGGGTGGTCCTAACTATGGGCAAATAGTTAACCCCCAAACTGGGGTCAAAACACTAAGTGTAAAAATAGGCTTTAATACCAGCAATACACTTTTTGTAAAAATATTAGCAGCAATCAATTTTTGAAGAATATTTTTTTACCAGCAATACATTTTTGAAGAAAACAAATATTACCAGCAATACATTTTTTGGAAAATATAATACCAGCAATGTCTATATTAAATAACCCATTGAGTTGTTGGTATGCCGTAAAACAAACCAAACCTTGAAAAAAAAACATTACCAGTAATATATTTTTGAAAAAAGAAAATATTCCAAGCAATACATTTTTTTTTCAAACAATATTACTAGGAATAAAAATCTTGTCGGCATTAAATAACCCATTGATATTGATATGCCGTAAAACAAACCAAACCTATATTTTAAAATAACTGAAAATCGTGGGGTCTAGAAAAACATCACTACAACAATACCAGGGCCGTACTTGCATTATTTTTTGGCTATGTTTTATGTAGGTACCTCCACGAGATCGCTAAAAAAAGAGTATAGCATGATGAAAAAGACGCCAAACTTGACGAAACCAAATTTTTATTGTCTAAATGTTTGTTATTATTAAGAGGAAAGATCAAAGTATTTTGGGGGTATTTTTTTCCATTTTTTAATCGTTCCTAGCACGTCCAAAATTTTCGTTAAAAATCTATTTTTTTTGAGTCAGCAAAATTGACCATTTTTTTCCATTTTAAAAAAATCTGGAAATCTCACTTTGAAATTCTTTTAAATATCAATTATCATTTTTTCAAACCTTATTTTAAGAAAATCAAATTATATTGTTGTTTTTGTTTTTTTTTGTTTTTTTTTGTTTTGTTTTTTTTTAGCGATCTCGTGGAGGTACCTAAATTAACTTCTCCATACGTGTTTCGCAAAAGTAAAGACCTTAACAGGGGAGAACAATGCTTAACTCAAATAACGCAACTTAATTATATTCTGGTTGGTCTTCCGTACTTTATAATTACAGCCCGGTTATAAGCACAAAATTACATTTCTTAATTACTGCGGATCTTCTGATTAGTCAAAATGATACAATTTACAACGCGCTAAAAAAGATCTCATAAGCACACTTAGGAAAGCCGATGCGGCTTTTAACTAATTTTATAATATTTTAACAACTTGAATGTAAAATCTATTATAATTAAAGAAATAACAAATAATTGTATTAAAATTTTTTTGCTTTCAGAAAATATTGTCCATATTCATAAAAACAACTAAAAGCAAATAAAAGCATTTGAAATTAAATAATATCTTTGTTTTATTGAGTTTTGTATGTTACAATTCAGAGCTGATTTTCAGGTACTGCGGATCCAATTAAAAACACAAAAAAAACATGATTTGCATTCCTCAAAGCCCTGTGCTTTTAATTATTGTAATCACTAAACCCGATGCGATCGAATTTCTAGCGTTTTCATAAAATTAGTTATGGGGGGGGGTAATAAATATTAAAAAAAATATTTCTACCATGACTTTAATAAAAAACATTTATAATAATTTCGATCATCTGTGAATTGTTACTGAAAGTTTCATTAACATCCGACAATTATTTCTATTTTTGCACGATTTTTCAAATTAAAGTGTGTCATACCAAAAAAACGTGCTAAAAATTGTCTGTTATTTACTAGTTCCGCTGATACAAATAGAAACAAGGTTTTTTTTAATCAAAATTTAGAATGTTCTAAAAAGGAAAAATAATTAAAAACTTTGGTCTTTCCTCTTAATAATAACATAAGCATTTAGACAATAAAATTTTGTTTACGGCAAGTTTGGCATCTTTTTCATCAAGCTATGCTCTTTTTTTAGCGATTTCGTGGAGGTACGTAGTTTTATGTAAATGTAACCTTAAGGCAATTATGTCTTTTCTTTTAGTGTATAATACTTTAACTTCCATATTGTAGAAGTTATAACAACAACAACAATAATGATTAATAATAAAAATAAACGCTTACTTTCAGTTGAAACAAAGTTTTACACACTTATAAAATAGACCCCCATAGTTGATTAATACTTTTCTTAAATATTGGAAAAAGAGGCCTAAGCCACTCTTGAAATACTGAGAAAGTATTTTGATTATTGAAAAATATGACGTTTAAAATATTAGCTTGAAATTAAAACTTCATATAAATATGAAAATAAAAGCTACAAGAAAGATTTTTCATTTTTAAAAACTTTTTTTTTAAACGTTAGGTATCGCGTTTCAGTGGCGATACCCACTTTGCTATTCGTCCGTATTGATAAAAATCGGAACGTTTATGCACACATACAAAAATTTAAAATGCTTTTTAAAATATTGGAAGTCGACGAATTGATTTAATTTATGATTAGTAAATATAGTTATTAGTTAATATTATCACCTAATTGGTACATATTAATACAGAATGTTAAGATTTCAAACGTTATAAATTATTCTAATTAAAATGTTTTTTTAAATGAAAACGATCAGTAGGAGATAACAGATAGCAACTAATGTATATTCCAAAGATTTTCGAAAATCATTTCAACAATCAATTTCTTTCGTTTCTGAATAAGTCATAAAAGTTTCATTAAAATCCGACAATTATTTGATTTTTGCAAGAATTTCCAAATCACTGTTTTTCAACCCAAAAAAGATGCTAAAATTACCTACACTAATCTTTGATCGTCGCCGCTGACACAAGGAAAAAAAACAAGACGTTTAACCAAAATTTCGAACGTTATAAAAAAAAAAAATATTTTTAATAATAAAAAATTTCCTTTCGTCTTTCCTCTTAATAATATGAAAACTTCGATGATAAAATTGTTTTTATTATTATTGGGGCTTTTTTTTTTCATCAGGGTACGTTTATTTTTAGTGAATCAGTGGAGTTACCTAAACAAAAACTAAAATAGTATTTAATTCAAAAAGCTTTTAATTGCTTATATGAACAAGATATATTATAGACACTATTGTCTTCATAAAGAAAATTCGGTAAATGGTGAATTTTTACAAGAATTCTTTCATTTTTCTTTAATTAGAATAATTTATAAAATTTTAAATATTTTAGAATTTTGCATTAATTTGTACCTGGTAAGTGATATTGATATTAAATTAAAGCTTTATTTACTAATCATAACTGGTAAAGCTTAGTCCAATTTAACGCCCCCTCTAGTATTTTAAAAATAATTTTAGGATGTAGGCGATCATGGCTCTCCACAAATCCCGTTTGTTTTATTATCTGTGAATTGCCATGATTTCTTGGGAAATGGTGTGCTTTCCCGTTGCTTTCTCCATGGTTTGGAATTCAGAGCTGTCCTTTCATGGGTAGATTCCACCCAAGCGAAGCCAGTCTTCTGCGTTATTTAACCCTCTATATCAATACGAAATTATCTAATGTCATGTCTCTTTAGAATGTAGGCGATCATTTCTCAAAAAATACCATTTCTATATTATTAGTGAATAATCACAGGGAAGTTATTCGTGTTGTTTCATGTTATATTTTCCATGTTTTTATTTTAAAATTCTTAGTAGTCTTTCACCTTAGACTCTCTGCCGCCCAAGTCTATAGAGTACTATCTACTCTACTTGTCTTTTATTTCTCCTAAGCCCTGTTCCACCATCTCTTTTACTCAAACTCACTAAACATATTATGTGTTGTTTTCTTCTGTCCCTCTTGCCCTCTATGTCCCGTAAGTATCAGATTTTCCGAGCCCTCTTTCCTCATCATGTACCCCAAAAATCTCAAGTGTCTCTTCCTTATTAGCTTTCTTTTCGTTTCCATTTTCTCCGTCGCTGCTCACATTTTTGGTCCATGGTATCCTCAGCATCCTTCTGTAGAACCCCATTTCTGTTGCTTCAAGTCTCTTCATCTTTACGGAAATTGTCCAGCACTAACTACCATAGAGGATAACAGATATCACATTGCAGTTTAGTAGCTTGTTTCGAGCGAAATTTTCCTATTTCTTAATACTCTGCTTAGCTTTTGGAATGCATCTTTCGCTATCCCAATATGCCTTTGGATTTTAGTGTCATACTTTCCGTCCTCTGTTAAATCACATCTCAGATATTTAAATTTCTGCATTTGTTTGATTTTGGTACCTCCGATTTATAATTGGAATTATGGGCTTATCCATGCATTCTGTCTTCTTGCAGTTCAGTTAATGTTTAATCCTTTCTTCTTGTTTTCCTTCATTAGCTTCTGTAGGAGTTTCTGTAGCTTTCTTTCTGTGTTTCCTACCAACACTATCTCATCTGCATGCCTTACGTTAAGATTGTCGCCGTCAATAATGAATCCGAGTAGAACTTCCAATTCGTTGAAAGTCGCCTCGCTTTATACGTTGAATAAGTCCGGTGTCTTACACACCTTTCTATTTTTTTTTTTTTTTTTGTATTTCTACTGAACCCATTTTCTATCCGTATGTGGTCAGTTTACTGCCAGTATAAGGTCTTGATTATTCTAATATCTTTCCCAAATACACAGAAGTCAGCACTGAGAACATTGGAAGTTCGTGTATTGCTATACAAGTGTAAGTAGAGAATTTTTCGGTAGATGCTGAACGTTTCATTCCGAACCTGATGTCCAGTTTGATTGAATTAAACCGCTATTAACTTTTATCTTCGTCGTTTCATTCCAATTACAAAGAAAGTTCGAAAAGAAAAGAAAATGATATTTTTGTCTTAGTAGCGACTGCATTGCATTTGGCATCCGCGGGTAATAATTATTCGGTCGAGGCGACGGCTGCTGCTGCTTATTCTTCCACTCGACGCCTAATTTTTAAAACGGATAAAGAACAGCCTACATTGAGACATCGATTTGATCCAGGTATTGTAAAAATCGAAGACGAATGACAAAAGAGGCTTTCCAGAATTCTGATTGAATGTTAAGGAATCGAAGAATAACCTTAGAAAGAAAAAAAAAGTGTGTTGGACTGCTTTGGTTTGGTTTGTTTTACGGTATACCAACCCTAATGGTTCATTTAATGCCGACAATATTTTTATTGCTGGTAATATTTTTTCCACAAAATGTATTGCTGGTATATATATATATATATATATATATATATATATATATATATATATATATATATATATGAAAAGTGTATATAAATATAAATAAATATATATATGTATAATTATTTATATATTATATGCGCGGTACTTATTAGAAAGCGCTCAATATCAGAGATAGAGCTAACATATTTGGTTGGATTGATGTCAGTTTGTGACCCTGGGTTTCTGACGATCGCTAAAGCGTGAAACCCAGGGTCACAAACTAACCTCTATCCAAACAAATATAGATAGATATAGATATAGAGGGATAGATATAGATAGATGGATAGATATAGATAGGATAGATATAGATATAGAGGGATATAGATAGAAGGATAGATATAGAGGGATATAGATAGGATAGATATAGAGGGATATAGATAGGATAGATATAGAGGGATAGATATAAAGGGATAGATAGATATAGAGGGATAGATATAGAGATATTTTCCACCCAAAATGTATTGCTGGTAATATTCCCCCCCCCCAAATGTATTGCTGGTAATATTTCTCTTCTGTTGTTAACTGGGGCAATGAATGGCCTGTTAATTTTAACGCCTCCAAAACGAAACTGCTCTCTATTAATCATCTGAGATCCTTTCTGCTTTCCATCTGCATGGCTGATGCTAACCTCCAGGAGGATGACTCGTTGCGCCTTCTTGGTCTAACGTTTTCCGCTGACATGAAGTGGAAAGATTATTTCAAATCAATTGCTAAATCTGCTGCTAGAAAAATTTTTTTCTTTTTTTTTTTTTGTTTCGTACTAGACAAATTTTTTCTCGCCCGAATCTATTTTGCATATTTATAAGTCTACCTTTCGCCCATGGTTAGAATATTGCTGCCACATATGGTCTGGTGTTCCCGCTATATATTCAGTGATCCTTCATAAAATCCAAAGAATCTGCAATGTTATTGGCCCTGTCCTGGCATCTCGGCTTCATTCACTTTCCCACCAACTTAAAGCAGCTTCCCCGTGCTTTTTCTATGAATACTTTCATGGAAATTGTTTTTATGATCTTTCCTCTATGGTACCTAGATTTTATTAATTTAAGCGCAGTACTAGATTGGCGGTAAGGTCTCACCATTTTACTGTTGAAATGGCTAGATGTAACCGTAAGTGGTATGCCAACAGTTTCTTTTCACTCACTTCTCGCTTGTGGAATTCTCTTCTGGTTTCTTGTTTCCCAGTCAACTTCGAACTGCAGGAATTTAAATGCAATGTCAATCGTTATCTTCTGTCTTAATTTCTGTTCTTTTATTGTTCTCTCTTTCACTCACACTCACACACACCATTTTTATATTCTTTCTGTTGTAACCTGAGGAAAGTTAGTGAATAGAATAATAACCCAAAGGCTGATAAAGAACAATAATACTTAGGACAAGAACAGCACATATAAGATTCGCCAGCGGCGCGTAGAAGTAGTCAACTGAATTCCACAATGAATCTCTAACACGCGGTCAGATGTGGCACATGGTCGAATTTAATGTGGAGTATCGGAGCCCATAGGCTCGGCCCAAATTCCCTGTAGCCCCCCCCCACACCCTATAAAACCGGGTCGGGTAACTGTTTCCCGAGACGAGACTTTGCCATTCGACATACACTTGTCTGTGGATCCTCTCTGCTCGGATGCAGAGAGTTTGACCAACACAACTGGAAACGAATCTCCAACTGCAGACCAACATGGCACGTGGAACTAGAACAGTCTACCCCAGTGAGCGAAATAAAGGGTTCAGTTCGACATTCCAACCACCTGAAGAAGGCCGGAGCGTACCACGGCCGAAAAGTTGTGATAAATATGACATCAAAGATGAGGACGATAATCCGAACATTGTAAATAGTGTACACTGAGCTACATCAGTTAATCTGAGTTTCACACTGACTGCGATCTTCACACGATTATAATCATAAGTATATTAATCTCAGACGGTCATATTTACACATCAATGTAACAAAGTGAATTTATCTTTCCCCATTAACATAAAGGTTACAGGTCAACAAATACACTCATACTTATAAACATTCGTAGAAAAGAGACAAAATGTCATTTCTATTCAGAGGAAAGCCGAAGATTTAGAAAAGAAACAAAGATATTGCCTTTATAACTCGTATCAACAGATTTTGTTTTTTCAATTCAGTTTTAATTTTGATATATGGCAGTGAATATGGGACAATCTCCTTACAGATGAAGAAGAGACTTGACGCAACCGAAATGTGGTTCTACAGGAGGATGCTGAGAATACCATGGACTGAACATGTGAGCAACATGGAAGTTTTAAGAAAAATGGAAACAAAAGTACGATTATACTTAGAATCGGAAAAATACGATTGAAATTTCCACGGCACATAACGAGAAAAGGGGACTTCGAGAATTTGACACTCACAGGACAGATTGAAAGCTGAAAGATAGCAACGAATAGCCTAGCTAACGTGTTTGTTTAATTGGTTGGCAGAACGGGTTATTGTTTAATGCTTAAATCCTAAGGTCGAGAACGCACACGTACTCACACACACACACACACACACACTAATCATTTTTTTGTAGAAATGCACTGAATATCAGAAAGAAAAGTATTGTCATTGGTCAGCAATTAGTACAAGCCTAACTAGAATTGAAATTTTGTATTTTTCTTTTTTTTTTTTCTTTTTTTTTTTTTTTTAAATTAATTCACCCCAAACAAGGCGATAATGCCACTTAGACGCAAGGGGGGCTAGTGGGAGCAAAAGAGAATGAGAAAACTTTACAAAGAACCGAAAAACCAATCCTAAACACAAAGCAAGGGATAAACCTCTACTCCTGTTCAAAAGACTGGGGAGGAGTGTGAACCGGGCGATAGAATTTGTAAGATTTTATAAGGATCTACATATTCACAAAGTTCAGCTTTGTCTAGCAGATGTTCATTTTCATAGCTGTATGATTATAAATGCTCACACACTCGAGAGGGTGCTAAAAATTTCCCGACCCTTTCCCTTCCCTGAAAGGAATGTCCATATCTGATTATTTCGGTGAGATTTTTGTGCAGTTGAATCAGTTCGAGTTCCTTTCAATGTATGCACATGTAAGTAAGTGAGTGAACAATTATATTACTTAAATATTCGGTCAATCAGTTCCAATGCTATTGGAAATAATATATCACGCAGTTTGTATTGTAAAAATTATTCATAACATGATATATTGATTAATTGTATCTTGTTTCATATCTATGAATATGAAATCGTGTTTCTATCTATGTATCTATCGATTCAGCAGTTTGTATTCAGGTAAACCAGTCTCCTCCTCTTCCTCTGCCCCATATATGTCTGTTTCAGTAAGTCTTTACCTGTCTATTAAATAATGCTTTTATCTATCGATCGATCGATTGATTGATCGAACGAGTGAGTTGTGTATCTATCCCTATCTTCCATTGCAATCATCACAAAGAGTTTTGCCGCGAAATACTGAAACGGACGCCCGATTGTGAGGGGGGGGGATATTGGATAGCGATTTAAATACACTGGCTGCGGCGCAAGAAATCTGGGCAGAAATTCAGACGCGCGACAAGAAAATGGCAACAACAACAAAAAAACATCTTTTTTTAAAATAAAAGATTTAAAAAGAAAACTTAAAGAAATGCGCATCAATAACGAGAATAAAGATACTCAGATTCTTTTTTTTTAATTTTGCTTTTCATTGAATTGGATAGGAAGTTAATATTTTTGCAAAAAAATTGTAGAACGCCTTTACAGGCCGTCTGAAAATATGGCTACTTTATTTATTATGTCTGTGCTTCTTATCTGAATATTGAATATGTTCCTAAGAATAACTGTTGGAATAAACATCAGTTGATGTGGCTCTCAAAAGTGTGTAATAATTCGCTTTAGCTGAAGGTTTACGGCCATACCACGTTAAAACTCCGATTCCCGTACGTTAAGCAACATCGAGCCTGGTCAATACCTAGATGGATTACTGCTTGCGAATACCAGCTGCTGTAAACTTGGATGTGTTGTCGCTGCAAAAGATTAAGAGGCACGGTGGAGTAATGGATAGCGGCTCGGTGTATCGGATGCAAATCCGCGACGACTGACAAACTTCCTGAACAAACACACTATTCACTTGGTGCGTCTGGTGTAAAACCGCAACGACTGATAAACTCCCTCAATTTACCCAATAATCTCTTCCTGTGCCTCTGCTTTCTCCTTTAAACGATTCTTCTTCAACGTTGCAGAAGATTCTTTTCCGAGTGACGAGTGTTCGGCATTTTTATGTCCTTTTCTGCCCTCCTTCATTTACATGCGTGAATTCACTTTCCGTGGTTTTACGCGACCGCCCGCGTGAGGATACGTGACCATTCGCAATATAAGCTTGCCGGGGGCAGCCATGTTTTTTCCAGTCAAAAAAAAAAAAATAAACCTTGCATGCAGAACATACACGCTGCAGTTTTCGATCAGGTGGGTCATTATTTTCGTTCCAATTTTCACTAGGAATCGGAGAGCCGAGTTCAAATTCCAGTTATGTGCTCATACCTTTGAGAAAGGTATGAATCTTTTCTCCTCCCAGCTATGGGTAAATAGCAGGATAGACGGGGGTATATAGCCTCGGATGGCAACTGGTCTACCGCAGAAAGATATGGCAACCTACTGCGGGAAAAAATCTGCCTCGTCAGTCATGTATCTTTCGATACATGATCGCCTAAGCGTGTATGATGCATGGCATATAACTGACTGAATCAGTAAGACAGTTAAATATTTTAAGTGGAAACTGTATGTGTGTAAGTGTGCGTTTAGCGAATTGTAAGGATCTTCGTTTTCTAAACATCTGGAACAATTTACAATCGAGTTGGCTAGATGGAACCGCAAGTTCTATGCTAAGTTTCTTCTCTCGCAATTCTCGCTTGTAGAATTCTCTTCCGGCTCCATACTTTCCAGCCAGCTTTAATCTTCAAAGATTTAAATGCAATATCAGTCGCTATCTACTATCTTCCTCTATTGTTCTGGCTGCTTCGTAATGTTTCTGCTTTCTAATTCTTCCACACCCAGTAACTCCTTGTGTCTTAGTGGATTTAATGCCTTCCATGGGGTGAATTCGATTAAAAAAAACTTTGAATAAGAATATCTACAGAAAGAAGTTATTATGTACATTATTTACATGTGAACTATTGTCCCCATCTTTGTTGTTATCACAATTTTTCGTCCATTGTGCTGATCAGATGCTTGTCGATCCGGGTAACTGAACCCTTTATTTAATCTATGGCGTAGATTGTTCTCCTTCTCCTGTCAATGTCTATGGGGAGATAACTCTCTTGTTCTTATTTTAGTTTTGTTCAGTTATTGCTCGTCCCTATTACTCTAGCCCAAGTACACACTTCCCGGCCCATAATTAAACTCACAACTACTATATCACCACCGCTTTAATCCACCATTCTAATTGTCCCGTGGGACAATTCTCTACCCAGAAATATTCCACTGGGCACCTTTTTTTTTTAATCCGTGTCACTCCAGGTAAGGCAGTAAGGCTGCTAAAACACGAGGTTTACAGGATGTGGAAAAATTAGGAACGGAAACAATGATGAGCAGAAAGAGTTATCAGGAGAGTAGCGATTGACAATGCACTAAAACTTTTGAAGATAAGTTGGTTGAAAAGAATGTAGCCGGAAGGGAGTTCCACAAGCGAGAAGTACGAAAGAAGAAACTGTTAGCATAGAATTTACGGCTACATCTAGACAAATGTAAATTGATGGGATCTCGATGCCAGTCTAGTGCTACGCTTAAATTCAAAAACTCTAGGTGCCATAGCGAAGAGCTCATCTGAACAATTACCATGAAAGTATTTATAAAAAAGATATAAGCAACCTTACGGCGTTGGGAAAGTGACTGGACACGAGCCGCCAAATCAGGGTGTGACGTCGTCCCCCGGTCGCAGCGTCGACTGTGTCGTTCGATCCCGGTCGCGGCGCCAATTGTGACGTCACGTGCTCCCCAGGTTCTGATATCCTGGTCACGGACGTCACCAACTGTGACGTCTTTGCCGCGGCGTCAGCTGTTCGCTCCTCGCTGCTCCAAACGTGACGTTCTAACCCTTTGGTTAGATTGGTACCAGCCTCGCCGTTCCCAACCCGCTTCCAACGCCTGGTTACCAGGGTAACTGCACTGATCTCCAGTCTGCCTACCCACGTTGTGAATTGATCTTAGACAGACGAGATCAAACAGGGGTTGGGGCCGTAATGCAAGTTGAGTCTAACGGGGTGATAACACACAATTATGTATGAAAGAAAAAAAAAAAAAACTCACAAGGTCCAACGTATCAAAGAAAAAGGTAACAAACTTTTTTATGTCTATTTGCTCGGTACATAGGACTATGTCTACTTCCCGACCCGTTCTGTGGATTGTGGCACGACGCTTTTACTAGGCAACTTTAAGGCTTCCAGTTGTCTGCTCTCTAAGAAATTTGTGTTTCGGTGTGTCTTTGGACGAAAGTCGAGAAAAAAAAAACATTTCTGTGGTCTGATTCTAAGTCGCTCTTCAAACTATTTGTTCTTGGTTGAAGAAGAGTCCAGAAGTGTGCGTGAATCTTGGTCAGCTATCTTGACGCGGTTTCAACACTGGGCGCTCATCTCTGCTTGTCGTCCACGGCTGAACTCTTTCGCCGTCCGCTGCTCAAACTCTAACTCAAACTGATTTCTGTCGGTTGGGGTCCCGCTTTTATTGACGCAGTCAAAACTGGGGTGGGTCTGTCGGCGCCAGGGTTTTTTCGATAATACGTATCCACCCTTATTTCTGGTTAGGGATTTTTCATTCCTTTCCATTTTCGGTAACTCACTCCCACTCCCTTACTGTGCCTCTGAGGGGCGTGTGCCTGCTTCCCCGCTTCTTCGTATCGGCTTCTCACACTTACACCTCTGACAGGGGCGTCGACCGATTCTCCTCGTGCGTCACGTGACCGCTCTCGGCCAATGAGGTCCTGGTCGGGTATCTTTCCTCCTCCTTCGTGTGTCATGTGATCTTATTTAGCCAATGATGTCTTTAGTCGGGTGTGGACAATCTGTGGCTTTGTTTTGGGGAAAGGAACACCTTGCTTAAAAAACAAAAATATTAATCTAAATCGCCCCCACCATGAGCGACCGCGATGACACCTTCGGCTTTTTAACACGTGGTATTTGTCAAGCAGTTTATCGCTAATTGGATATGACCTAAGAAAGGGATTTCTCAGACCTGTTGGCGTTTTTTGAACGAAATAAAAATATTTCATTTTCCTCCGGCCGAAGGTCCGATAATAAAAATCTTTATTATCTCAAAAAAAATTTTCAGCGACATCATCTTGTGCGGCTTTTTCCAATTCTGGAGATTGTCTGGGTTTTCGTATTAATGGTTTGCCTTCATATCCTTAGATACACTTCCCCACCCACTTAGACTTTTTACTATCATCCAAATGACACATTTTCCACTTGTTACTTATCAATATTTTTCATTGTCCCTAAACTTCGTTTCTTCAACCAATTGATAACAACTTCCATTTTCCCCAGATCTCGGTTAGATGCTTGACCTGGATATTTTTCGACACCTGTTACCTGTCAGCCGAGCGTGTGTGCCTGACCTGTTTTCGTATTATTTTTCTTTCTTTCTTCTTCGTTTTCTCTTTCCTTCTTCCAGATCGCTTGAACGTAAAGAAAGAATTATTCTTAAAACCCGAAATATTTTTCGGCCTTAAATAATTACTAAATGGTTGATAAACCGTAAAAAACAAGTCATATCTATGAATATTTCTTTCAAACCGTCAGGATGCATGGTGCCACAGGGCCAATAATATTGTTGATTCTTCTTATCAAGGAGCTCAAGGTAAATAGCAGGGGCACCGGACCATAAGTAGTAGGAATATTCTAAGCCTGGACGAATAGTAGACTAGATATCTGAGATAAATTCTGGAAAGAAAAATTGTCTAGCCCGACAGAGTGAACCGAATTTTTTAGCAGCTGGCCTAGCAGTGGATTCAATATAGTTTTCCACTTGATATCAGCCCGGGAAGGTTAGCCTGAAGGTTAACATCAGTCATGCTGATCGAAGGCAGTGAGGGGTCTCTCAGAGGATTAACGGAGAAAAGTTTTGTTTGGAGGGCGTTAAAATTAACAAGACCTCTTTTGCCACGGACTTGAGGTCGTTTTGGACATCGGCTACCAGTTTGACCTTGTCAGACCGATAAGCCCTACTACGGAGACAGGTGTAAATTTTGTGTCCTCAGCGTAGATACCAAGTTGACAGCTGATGCCATCATGACGATCATTAATCAAAATTAAAAACAGTGTAAGACTAAGGATGGAGCCTTGGGGGACACCTGCGTTACTAAGAAAGCATCTAGACAAGTGGCCATTCAGAGTAATTTTCATTTCACAATTTGAGAGGAAAGACTTGAACCGCTTCAAAAAAGTGTCCGGAGACACCGTAACTTTTGTGCTTGTTGAGAAGACCTGAATTCAAAATCCTGTCAAAGGCTTTCGAGATGTCCAATGCTACAGCCCGGGCTTCACCATTTTTATCTAGAGTATGATAAACTCTTTCTCCAATTATCATCAGTACATCAGCAGTTGACCTGGAGAAACGAAAGCCATATATAGCTTGTCTGTAAGAAGGCCCTGCGATGAGAGATGATGAAACAAATTCAGCATTGATTAGGACTTTTAGGAGTTTCTCCCAAAAGAGGTAGGAGGCGAATAGGTCGATAGTTAGAACGGTCCCACGGCTCACCAATGTTTTTTTTAAAAAACTGGAAAAACAGATGATGACTACCAGCAGGCAGGAAAGCAGGAGGCAGCGAGACATTTATTAAAGAGTTTAGAGAGAACAGGAGCCTGTTCAAGAGCACACATCTTAATGACTATCACAGGGATACCATCGAGTTTATATGCTTTGGAAGGATCTAAGTTAGAAATGATAGCAGAAACCATGGAAGAGAAGTTCAAAGTTTGGATGACAGCAAGGCTAGTAGCATTAGAGTGATGAAGCCACTGGACATGGTCATTGAAGTCGCCGAACAAAGATATTTGCAGACGAGTGTAGATAGAGGACCTTAAACAGTTTAAAGAGAACGGCAGTCTGTTCAAGAGCACACATCTTAATGACTATTACAGGGATACCATCGAGTTTATATGCTTTGTAAGGATCTAAGTTAGAGATAACAGAAACCATGGAAGGTATCGGAAATTCTATCTAGCAAACAAGATTTATGAGAGGAAAAGGAACGATAAAGAAAGAAGAGATAACTGACTGAGTTTACTAATGAAAGCTGGAAGCACATTTAAGAAAAACCCGGAGACTCGAGAGACAGTTCCTTTGCCAGTGGGAGATGCTATTATTATTAT